GAATACATCTTTTTTTAAAAATTCTTGTTTAGCGTTTTGCTGGTTCTTTCAGTGCATTTTTGCATTCATGATTAACAAGAAACACAACTGCAACTCCGTGTATTTGTTTGATGAACCAACTTAAAGGCATATTTTTTTAATAAAATGACCCCCAAACTGCTGCACAAAGTCACAGTTTTTAGGTCTTTAGAAACTTGCATTTAAAATATGCCTTGGAGTACAAAGAAATTATAATTTTTAATTTAAAATATCAGAGACAAAAGATCAAACGATGGTTAAGAAACAGCACCCAATTCTCTTTGCAGCCACAGCAGAGGGTCCAAACTCTGCCTGGCTCCATTTTTAAGCACTACCATAAAATTGGGGCAAACAGCTGAAGACCCTTTTTGCCTTGGATGTTACCCTGGACTAATCGGCATAGCTTACACAATCCAGATGTGGACTCCACTGGTTAGGAGACAGTCCCAGATTTGCTATGGTAACTGATTCCACCTGGGACAACATTCCCCAACCAAGTGCTCACCAGATGTGTTGGCTTCAGACTCATAACTCACAGTCAGCAGGACCAAAACACGCTGGCATGCCGTGGTCCTCCAGGGCCCCCCTTCATTGAAAGCAGATGTTCCTTCTCTCCATAGGCTGCTCTGTGGAGAAGCCCTCGACTCATTTAGCCAACCTGGCTTTGGCCACTGAAGGTGAGCAGTGTGTGCTTGAGATGTCCTTTGCTGGGCAACTCAGGGCTGGTTTCACCCTCAGGGGCTCTGGCGAGAGTGTCCCCTCCACAGGAAGCTTTGGAAGGCAAGAATTGGCTGTTCACTCTTCTTGGCTCCCCTCTCATTAGAAGCAAAATATATCCACCTTCTTTGCTCACTGCATCTTCTCAGTGAGAAGACAAGGATTGTACAGTTGAATTTCGGTGAGGCTATGCAATCTTTTTCACTCCTTTGATTTTTGGAAAGCATGTTAGCTGCTGCCTTTGAGAAAGCCATGCCCAACTCATACCAATTTCAAAATATTTCCTTTCAGTTGGATAGTTTAAAAACACATGGGAAAACTAGGCATTTATTGTGATGTACCCTAATGAGAAATATAAAGACCGTGTTGAATAATTTTTGACATTTTTTCTATTTTAATGATTAGGTAGATATGGATTTTTATTGTTCTAAAGAAAATGTACACATAGATTTTGATAATATAGAATAGAATAAAATAGAATAGAATAAAATATTGGAATATAGAATGGAATGGAATGGAATGGAATAGAATAGAATAGAATAGAATAGAATAGAATAGAATAGAATAGA